GTAGTGAAGGAAAAAGAACTAAAACACCATAATGATGTTAAACTTACTAGACAGATCAGAGAATATAGACTTTGTCAAGAACAAAGCTGTTAAGTTTTGTTCAAATGTCTCATGGGAACAAGATATTGAGCAAAAATGTAGGGAACGGACAATAATAAGAACACTTAAGATACAGTTGTGTGATTTGTGAATGCTGATTTTTTAAGAGCTCTTTATCTGCAGATGTGTGAATGTTTGTACGTTTAAAAGATACAAATCTGACAAGGTCAGAATGGCAGGGTCAGATGTTTCCCAGGCTTTGGGAAGTTCATGGTCAATTGTTTTGTTGTTGGTTTGGGTTTTTTGGTTCGAAAAATGTCACACAGCTACTCAGATCCCATGTTCATAAAAGACTGCACCAGGGGTGTTACGTGTGCTATTTTGATTAGTGTTTTTAACTGAGAGCATCTCCCAGACACTCAAATCTCCTGCCTAGCTGGCTTGCAGGAGGGATGAGACTGAGCTCATGGAGATGTTTTTGAAGACTGACACCTGAGGGTTTCCTGCCACTGTTGCCCTGCATGCAGGGGCATGGGGCAGCGCTGAACCACATTCATGTACCCCATACCACAAGCCACAGCGGAGCCACGCTGACCTGTTTGATGAGAGCTGCTGCCTGCAGACGGCTTTTGCGATCAGCCACCTCATCTTGGAGCTGCTGCCACAACTTCTGGAGGTTGTCTGTCTGCCTCAGAATGTCCTCCTGGCGCGCAGGGTTCTTCTGGCTTAGCTCCCAGCCCCTCCTCATCACATCTGCACATATGGCCCTGTGGGAGTTGCACTCTGCTTCAAGAGCCTAGCAGGAGGATGGGAGACATGTGAGCACAACTCATTCCCCGCCAGCTGAGAGTAAAGAGGGGATCCTGTTCTTTGCTACTGTAATGCATACGTTTCCGAGAGCCCTGTGTCTTATCTATGCCGGTCAACTTTCCCTGAGCCCTGAGATGATTGCCTCTCAGCTCCCCACACTCAAGTTACTGTCCCTACTTTTTCCCTTTGATGTGAAGTTCATTATACAGTCTTCTCTGAAAGAGATAATTGTTTGTCATTCACCACTTCAGCTGTCTTATGCCTTCCAGAAGCAACAAATACACAAACAGATGCACACAAATGTATATTAAAATTACAGAAGAGGCTCCTGTTTCATTTTTTTCATGCAAGTTCTCAAGCCCACAGGTCTCTTCACTTATTTACAATGATTCTTTGCATAAGAAGGCAGTAGCACATATAGCTAAGCTTTTGATATTAGCCCACAGCAAGGTCTTAGGGAAAGTGGTAACAGATTTGTAAGTTCACAGAATGTTATCCATCCTGCCTGCTGATATCTTTTTTTCACCACCTCTTCCTTGCCTTACATCTCTCTTGGCTAGGAAAGGTGAGTGGGAAAAACAAAAACTAGCAACCTTTTTTCCCTCCCACACAAAATGAGCTAATACGGAAACTAGTGTCTTCACTACAAGCCACACTTCTAGTCCAGTATGAAGCATATTCCTTCTTTACCCTTTCCTTCCCCTTTTTGGGAAAAAAATTTCTACCCTATATGTTTTTTTTAAATTCCAGACACAGGCCATGACACTTGAGATAACGAGTAGTTTGACAGCTTTCTTATAAGTGCTGCACTGACTAAAGGACATAAATGTTGTAAAATCTCGCTATAATACAAAGACAAGACATCACCAGCAAAGTAAGATACCTTGTGCTTCTGAATA